TGTGTCTGTGTACAGCATAAATAGTCGAAATAATGCTTCAATTTCAAACWTTGGGGGTGGTTTCCGATGTAAAAGTGAATATCCTTGGTGCATTATAGAGGTAAAAAGCAAACATTTTCCAACAGTTTTCAAAAAAATCGAGAAAAACAAAAAAAAAAATGACAGAAAAACGGGAATTTTTACACTAAACCAGTTTTCGACTAAATACATTTTTTTATATGGTTGTAATTCAAAAACTAATCACTGTAAATACTTGAAATTTTCACCAAATGTTTATGTTAGTGTTATCTATATACAGTTTAATTTAAAAAAAAATTTTGATTTTTTTTTGAGTTATTTATAGACCACTGAAATTTTCGATTTTTTTGAGAATTTTTTTTAAGTATCGGTAAAAAAATTTTGGATCTCTAAAAAATCTTGAAAATTTGCAAGTAATTTTGAAGATGAAGAATAATAAAATTTTTTGTGTTTATAACTAAGGATTAAAAATACAACACTGAGTTTTCCGTAAGTTTTCCTCAAGTAGCCATAGAGAAAACTCGAAGCATCATTATGGGAAAAATTTTAAGTGCGTTTGAATTTTAAATTTTTACGAAATAGCGTAACGATATTTTATCCTCAAACGATTTTAAATATTTGTTATTATTCAAAAAGTATAAGTCGTAGATACATGAAAATTTTACCAGTTATTTAGATTGGCATTTTCTTTACATGATTTATATTTCAAAATATTTTGACTTTTTTTGAGATATATTTATAGACGACTGAAATTTTCAATTTTTCTGAAAATTTTTTTTTTGAAGTGTCAATAGAATTATTTTAGTCCTATCAAAATACTTGAAAATTTAATACAAAGTTCTTCATAAGTTATTCTTATAGTGATTAAAAAATTATAAAAATACATATGCACGATTTTTTTGTATTAGCATTTGAAGTTCAAATAYTGACTWAATACATAAAAATTACGGCAATGTTCAAATTATCTTAGATAGAAATTCATAAAAGTTTTTCTTTTTAAATCTAAGATTTGAGAATTTAATACAAGCCTCATAATAGTCATAATATATTTTTACAATAGCAGTTAAAAAATAAAAGAAATATATAGCCACAAGTTTTTTTTACATGCATTAAAATTTTAATTTTGACAACACGTAAAAATCACGAAAATTCGCAAATTATTTTAAGCTWGAAATTCATAAAAAAATTTCTTTTTAAATCTAAGATTTGAAAATTTTTAATAAYCTATAATATACCCTTGACAGATAAACTATCTCCGTTTATAATCGTTTTTCGTATACAATGATACCTCATCGCATTCAAATTTAACCTACCCTAGTCAGAGGTCCACCCCACCCCCTAATGTACAGCAGAGTGATACCCACTTACCCGCTTTTTTTTGTAAATTAATTAATGAAATAATGGTTTATTTTGTAAATTTTAAATTTTGTAATTGAAATAAAAATGT